TTTAATTATATGGTTGTTTTAAAACTGAAATCATACAATTTCATGTATTATATATGTGTGTAAACAGTAAACACCCCAACACACATAACTACAGTAAAAAAAGATTCTCACAGGACTGGTTTTGGCAGTTTGTTGGTTTTGGCACATTCAGGTGTGCACAGTTCTGTGCGATGCTCGGGGAAAAGCCCGACAGCTAGACACAGTTCACCTTTTAAATATTAAAGTTCGTTACAGTAAAATCAGGCAAAGACTGAAATAGGGCTGCAACAATTCATTGAGTAATAAAGTCACAAAAAATTCTTTGCTACAATGTTTCGTTTCACACGAGGCCGTGTAGTGTGTCGACGTGTTAAACGACGTAACCGCGAGTGCTTTACCCGCATTTGCTACAGAAACAGACCTGCACTATAAACACAGCCTTCAGTTTGGAGCAGAAACGCTGATCGCAGTGATGATGGAGTTTAACATGGAGCCGGTGTTCTGAGAAACATCCTACTCTGACAAAACGTCCTACCCGTATTATAATTTGACGGTGACTTGCGACTAACCCTACCCCTAACCATAACCATAACCTTAACCTTAAGAAGTATTATGGATGGGTGAGAGAAAAAGAAGTTAATTCGGCGTTGGTGTTGTGCGCATGCGCCGCGTCTGCACAGAAGCATTGGGTAGGATGTTTTTCCTGGTAGGATAGATTCCCAGAACACCGGTCTGTTTACTACGGAGCCCCTCTGATGACACGGTCCAAAAAATAAATATATTGAGGCCACAAAATACTGTTTCAAGGGCACGAAATACTAATTTGTGCCCATAAAACATTTGACCGAGAACCGTGATCCTTCAGGCCCTTGCAGTTGGTTGACAATAAAATCCCGGCGTCCAGGTCCTACTTACGTCTGTAAACTGGGCTCGCAGTATCCTGTTTAAATGTCTCTCTGTAATAATGGTTCCTTGCATTGCAGGCTTTTCAAAATGCATTTGTAGCTCATTCCCAGCCTAAAATAAAACTCAATCATACCGTCTCTGTCCACGGTGTAGAGGTTTAGCCTACTTATGCTTATGTCTCTACACAGCTGGAATTGTATCAATATGATCTGCGCGGTGGTAATTCGTTGCCACGTTACACCCAATTTGTTGCCACAAAAAGTATTTTGTGGCCACAATTTATTTATTTTTTGGACCATGAGAGAGGGTCCGAGGGGCTCCGTAGTTTACACACCATGAAGAGGCGGAGGCGTTAGCGAGAAACCGAGCTCAGGTTGAGTGAAAGAAAACGTGTTTCTGGCGTCCGAAACAGGAGCACAGTTCCAGTGATGACCATTAAAACCTTTACTGGGAAAAATCTAGAGTGCCGAGTCCTTCATCAAAGCGCCTGATCAACTCCAACGTGAAGAAAAACGAACTTTGTCGCTGCTCCATTCACACACACAGAGTAATCTGCAGTAAGCCTCAGAAGTTATGCAGATGACCAGTTAACTTAGTCTGATACCAGACTGGTTAAATTATAGAGCTGAAGGCTGACGACAGCCGTCATATTTGGGGTGAGTCTAAGGGGGGCACGGGGTGTCCAGAACTTTCATAACATTTTCAGGTTGAAATTGAAGTAATATCATCATCATCACCAGCGTCGTTTATTTATGTAGCACTTATATACTTATATATATTACAATACAACTATAAAGAATAATATAAGAACCGAACAAAACAATAAAATTAATACAAATGTCAGTGACCCAAAGAGTTAAAAGCCAGAGAATAAAAATAGGTTTTTAATCTGGACTTAAAGAACGGCACTGATGTAGCCTCATATGAAGAGGAAGATTGTTCCAAAGCAACGAGGCCACAGCAGAGGACGCCGCTCTCCTCTGAGTTTCAGCCGTGACTCAGAGACTGAAGGCAGCAGTTGCTCAGCTGACCAGAGGGAACAAGTGGGAACATAAGGCTTCAACAAATCAGACAAATAAACGGGTGCCAAACTATTTAAAGATTTAAAAACCAATAAAAGAATTTTAAAACGGATCCTAAATTTGATTGGAAGCCGAGAGGCCAAAGCCGGAGTGATGCGGTCGAATTTTCTTCTACCAGTTAAAAATTGAGCCGCAGCTTTGTGCGTAAGCGTGACAAAGTGCCAGCTCCTCTTAAAATGGAATTACAGTAATCCAGGCGTGATGTAGTAAAAGCATGAATTACAGTTTGTAATGTTAAACATTGTGTTAATTCAGTTGCATTAGAATTTAAAAATATGAAAATAAGAGCACAATAAGAGAACAGACGCTGTTGTGACAGTGATGGACAGTCTTTTTGGTATATGTATGATTTCTATACATTTTACATCAGATAAAAACTTTGTTTTTTGTAGAGAGAAAAGCCGATCAGCTGATCATTGATCAGTTTCATGATTGAAGTAGAAACAGGAGAGAGAGGAGAGAAGAGGCAGCTGTGCAGCAAAGTCACAGAATAACTCCACCTTTGTGTCTTTTTCATTGTAGCTGAAGTTCGGGACAAACTGTTCCTTCTCAGCTCAA